TTGCTTATATGCTTGCTTAAATACTGGAATTGGCTCATATTTTCCATATGGAATATTAATATTCATTATTCTCAAAGTGAAAAGACAAGCTTCTCATGTTAAACTAAAAAAGCCTGTATTTAATTAATCTTCAAGTAAATGAACATGTAAAAAATAGTAACTGTTGAGTATTTTGAAAATCACTGCTTCTGCTTTAGCCTTTCTCTTAGGTCTCGAATTCGCCAAATATTTTTGAAGTCACTTTTCAGGCATTAGATCCTCTTACATGGCTAATAAAAAAGAAGTCTAAAAACAATTTAGTCATTTTTTGATAAATGTAGTTTATTGGCATGGTTCAGCATAGAATAACAGAAGAAAAATATTCTACTTCAAATAATGTACTTTTAAAAAAAAATGATTCTTTTGGGGCGCCTGGGTGGCTCAGTCAGTTAAGCATCTGACTCTTGGTTTTGTCTCAGGTTATGATCTCAGGGTCGTGGAATCGAGCCCCAGATCGGGCTCTGCACTGAGCTCGGAGTCCGCTTCAGATTCTCTCTGCCTCTGCCCCTCCCTCCACTCTCTTTCTCTCTAATTAATTAATTAATTAAAATATTTTAAAAATTATTCTTTTTTTTAATTATTGAAGTATAGTCAACATACAATATAATACAATGCTATATTACTTTCAGGTGTACAGCATAGTGATCTGACAATTCTGTAAATTCCCAGTGCTTACCCCAGACAAGTGTCATTACCATCCGCCACAATACAACGTTACTGCAATATTACTGACCATATTCCCTATCTGTACTTCTCATTTCTGTGACTCACTTATTTTATAACTGGAAGTTGGTACCTCCGAATCCCCTTTACCTATTTCACCCGTCCCCCATCCACCTCCCCTCTAGCAAATAATGTGTATTTTTTAAAAAGTGGATCATCTCAGGAGTAACTCCATTTTCCATTTTGCTTGCTGTGTATTAGTGACTTCACTCATCTAGAATCTGTCGTTCCTGCTCGGGTATGCAGAAACCAGAAACGTGCTTCCTTCTTGTTTTGATTTTGCTCTCTCTTTGCACTGCAGGTGTAACCCCCATGAGCCTTAGTGAAAAGCTGGCTGACTCTCAAACATGCACACATTTTACCGTGTCTTATATCCCCAAAGGAAACCACGCCACCAACTTAATTTGTTTCTGCTTTCACGCCACCCAGTGCTACTTAAAAACATTGGCAAAGGTCTTTTCATTCCACTAAGTTTCTTGCAGCTCATCCTCACTGGGTCTTCCCATTATTCGGTGAGTATTCTTCCCTAATTGAATGACTGTCACATTCTCTGCGGTGCCAAGAGAATCCCAGTTTGTTTTTGCAAAAACCTCAGTAATTTTTGCTATTTTATTTCCCAGAATCCAAATCTCTTCATTCTCTGAAGATGGTTGGCCTCATAGTTAGAAGACGGAATTCATCCTGTAGGAGCTCCTTCTTGTGCCTCACTTCTTGACGACCCATCCCTCTTTCATCTTTTCTCCTTGTCCTCAGAGGCTAACATGTCTAATTACATCCGGGGATCTCATCTCCTCCTGCCGCCTCAGAGACCTTGCTCCCATACTTAGCCCTCTGCTCTCAGTGCTGTCTCTTTCTGCCTAAGATTGTTCTACCCCTAAAACAACAACCAAACAGATCTCTTAATTTTTTTAAGATTTATTTATTTATTTGAGAGAGAGAGGGGGGGGGGTTAGGGGAGAGGGCCAGGGAGAGAGAAAGAATCTCAAGCAGACCCTAGTTAAGTGCAGAGCCCAACGTGGGGCTCCATCTCATGACCGTAAGATCGGGGCCTGAGCAGAAACCAGGAGTCAGAGGCTTAAATGACTGCGCCATCCAGGCGCCCCCAAAACAGATCTTTCTTCAGCTCCACCTCTGTCTCAAATTTCCTTTCTGCGAAGTTTTTGAAGTTGTATTTCTGTTTCCCTTGACTTAATCCTTAACTTTTAACAGTCAAGTTTTTACCCGTAGCCCTCTGTCAGAGCTCAACTCTCAAAAGTCCCTGGTATATAATCTGTCAGCAACCAAATCTAGCGACTTTCCTCAACCCCCCATTATTCCCTGTGGCATTGGACAGAAGTGATGCCGCCTTTCTGGAAACCGGAAGTGTTTCCTGAATTCTGAACGGAGTCTTTTGTCTCCACGCCCTGTTTCTTTAATTGAGAATTTGAACCTTTGTCTTTTCAGGCTGTGATTTCCTTTGCCCAATCTCTTCACTGTAGATTTCCCTCAGGACTTTCCCTCCATATATACTCTATATTCTACTTTTCTGGAATTTTCACGGTTTTTAAACATCATCTCTGTGTGCAAAGCTCTGAAACCCATTAATTCCAAATGACAGGCCTCTATTTGCTATTTTGGCTGGACTTACACTTGAATTCTACTAGGATATCAAACGCAACACGTCCAGAACAGAATCCACTTTTTTCTCCTTCCCTAACCTGCCTTTCCGGGTTTCCTCTTTTCCGCAAGTGACATCACCACTGATGTTCTCTTGGATCCATGATTTCCTTACCCCAGAGCCAGGGATGCTCAAGCTCTCATAGATGTGCTGCCAACACAGCCCTTGGAGATACATTATCGCCAGACTAATTTTCTATAAGTGCAATTATAGGTTATTCCCCTGCTTAATAGCTTCCTATCACTTACAAAACAAAATCCAGATCTTAACATGGCATTCATGGTTGTTCACAGCACGGCTGCAGCCAAACTATCTGATTATAGTTCTCAAGGCTACACTTATCACTGGGCAACTATTTGTTATTATTAATACAAATATTTTATATTAGTTGCTCTTCTCTCTACTCACTTTTAGGTTCCTGTCCCTGAGGCTTCGCTCATGCTGTTTCCCATCTCCAAAACCTTCTGTGATCCAAACTCTACCCATTCTTCAAATGCTACTTCCTTCAGGCTTCCCTGATCTTCACAACTGGAAGAAACATTTCCAACCTTTGCATTTCATTTATGTGTTACCACTAATAGAGCCATACTCATTTTCTTTTGCTTAGTGTTTACATGAAACTTCTTCCCCATCCTTCTGCTTGTAAACTGTTTGTGCCTTTATTCATAAAATGTGTTTCTTGTAACCAACATATAGTTGGGGTTTTTCATCTAGAGATTTTTTATTTTATCTAGTCTGTCAATCCAGACCTTTCAAATATGTTCTTTAGTCCATTTATATTTGCTGTAATTATTGATCTGTTTGAGTGTAAGTCTGTCACCTGGGTGTTTTAATTCTATTCCTCTTGCCCTTTTTTGTTTGTTTGTTGTTTTGTTGGTTCCTTCTTTCCTATCATTCTTCGGCAAGTGGTTAATTTACCTTTTTTTTTTTATTCTATGTCCCATGTTGAATTTTTAGTTCTGCCTCTTTGCATGTGTCTGTGGTTTGTGATTACTGTAGACATTAAAATTTGCACCTTTAATATATCACATTCTGTGTTTAAAAAAATCAGTTTAAGAAAAATCTAAGAATTCTATGACAATCTATTTCCAATGTTTAGTCCTTGCTTTAGGTTAAGTTTAGTCCTGGAGTTTAAACTCCCCAATGGTAAGCTACCCCTGCCTTGTACTTCATATAAAGCCTGGAGCTACAAGGCTTTTCCCTGTTCTCCTGCCGCACCCTTAGGCTGCTGTGGACCCTTCCCGCATGCAACACGGAGGGAGTCCCTCCTACTGCCCCCTCCCTCCTTAGTTCCTACCCCTCCATCAGCAGTTAATTGTTCTTATCTCGAACCTAGAGCAAGGCCTACTTCTCCAGCCTCAGATTTAGGCAGGACCTGCATTCCTGAATTGGTGAGGGTTTCTCTCCGCATTGTTAAGACTGCCCCACCCCTTACTGTTACTGGGTGTAAGACGGGGTGTGGGAGGGCTTATATAGATAGTTACTGCATGCCTGCATTTCAGTAGGGTTCACACTCAGCTGTCCTGCCTTTTCTCTGTGGGAGACACCTGCTGTCTCATATTCACATAAGGTTGCAGCATGGGAGATAGATACTCTTGGTTGTGCTGATCCACTCTCAAACTCAGGCAGTCCTTCTAGTTCATTAATTTACCTTGCAACTTTGATTCTCCAATAGACTAAAAACTTACGGTTCCGTAAGCTCTCTGATTTGTTCTTATTGCTTAGGTGGGAGCAAAGTTTCTTGTCACTTTCTATAGCCTGGAGAGAAGCAGAAACTCCCTATTCCATTTTATCCTTCAGTCTTCCTTAGATTTAGTTCTCCCAGAAACAAGTGCTAAGAAAAGAATTTGAGTTCAAGTAGTTTATTGGGGTGGTGATCCCAGGACCCCCAGGAAAGTTGTGGGAGGAGCGACAGGGAAGAGAAGGAAGTCTATATAGTGTGTGAATGAGCAGCTGAGGTGAAATCCCACCAGGGGCTCTTGGAACACTGCATGGAAAAAGCCTTGGTGAAGTGGCCATTATCGATCAACTCCCACTTGTGATTGATTAGCCGCCCTGCCTGTGGGTGGAGCCTGCTCCAGGTCAGAAAAGGCTTAGAATCACAGGAAGTTGTTAAGGTGAGGGAATGTGGGACGCTCGCTACGCAGGGTCCCTTCTAGACTCTCCAATGACACTTTAATGACTTTACTTCTCAGGAATATTGGCTTACTAGAGCCTGATGTTACTGAAAAGATGATTCATACCTGATTTATTTCTGTAGTCTCCCAGCGTGGAGAATGGCCAGAAGATAGGTAATCAAAAATCATTAAATGAGAAAACACATTTTATAAAGTACCAATTTGTAGAATTCTGGTGAGCTCTTCTTTATCTCCTATCGTCCTCCCAAACCCACACCCTCACCCCCACCCCAATCACTCAGATGACATGGTTTATTCTCTTAATTGTCAACAAAATTTCAATTTACCTGACTGGCTGGAATTTTTAAAAAATGTGATTGTCCAGCCAATGTGAATGTATTATAATTTAAAGTGTAGTTTCTACACCTGCACTTTATCTAACAGATATTTTATATTACTTGTAGCCGACAATGATAAGGCGTCCACCAACAGTTATCTGCTACATTTGTGGTCGTGAATACGGAACAAAATCTATTGCCATCCATGAACCACAATGTCTGAAAAAGTGGCATAATGAAAACAACTTGTTACCTAAAGAGTTAAGGAGATCAGAACCTAAAAAACCAGAAGTCAGGACCATTACGGGTAAGTTCTGGGAAAACAAAAACAAAAACAAAAAAACACTTGGGTCTGTAAAGGGAGACTTTTCTCTCTGAACTTATTAAGAGGAGAGGTATTCCTTCTTATTTATTCAAATAACTGCAATCAGCAACATTTACTGTCTTGATTATAACCAAATAGGAAAAACAGTTCTAGAAGGCCTGACCAAAGGGCCTCAGATGCTAAGACGTAAAGACACTGTTGTCAAAACTGTGCAAGGAGAGAGACACACTGGCATTCCCTGTATTTCCCAAAAGTTACTTTTGTATATTATCAAACTTATCCTTAAGAAACATGAAGCTTAAAAAATCTTGGCGGGCCCCTGGAGACATGTTTTCAAATATGAATGTTTCTTAGTGTTCACAGAGCAGGGTACCGGCCTCACAGTTTGCAGGGTCCACCAGCCAGGGTGCCAAACTGAATAAATTAGTCCACGTATGACAAAAGGGAGGGTGGGGGCCATGGGGGTGGGAGAATACCGACTCTTTCTAAAGGAGGCCACGGCTACCTGCTTCCTGCTGTTACCATTAAGAAATGTAGCCCAGTGTGGGCATGTTTTTCGAAAACACAGAAGAAACTGTAAATCCAGAAATCGATATGCAATGCCCAGATCTTTCAAATTTTGCAATTAATGCTTTGTAAAGCACCGCACAAGCCAAATGAAACCCCATTAACTGCCGTGTGTGGCCGCCTGACGGAGCGTTTGCTTGCTCGTTTGGGGCGAGAACAAAGTAGTTCAGAGAATGTTTGCCAGGCCAACTCAGACTTGCGAATCTTATTTCTACCATCGTCACTTTCTCAGTGGATCGCCTCAAAGGAAAATCATTCTTGGTTTTAAGAAAAGTATCATTCAATTCGGTAATCCTCCTTCTGTAACTGTAGATTTGCATAACTGGAGGGTACCTCCAAGTCATTTAGTATTGATCAGTCCAGAGAACTCTTGTCAGAAATGTGACCCAGGAGAGTTCTCTAACAACCCACAGAGTGGAATCTAGGTTGTCATGATAAAGTTCTAGAGGCTGCTAGAACCCAACTATTCACAGTCCTTGCCAAGAGTAGGAGGACTCATCGTTCAGGTGGGAAAAGGGCTCAAGATGAACACATGCATCCATTGAAATTAGAGCATTTGCCCACAAAGACCTTGTTTGCCTCACTGAAACTCTCTCCTAGCAATTCTCTGTGGTGTCAAAAATCTGTTTTCTTGGGTGCCTGGGTGGCTCAGATGGTTAAGCGTCTGCCTTCGGCTCAGGTCATGATCCCAGGGTCCTGGGATCGAGTCCCGCATCGGGCTCTCTGCTCAGCGGGGAGCCTGCTTCTCTCTCTGCCTCTCTCTCTCTCTTTCTCTCTCTGTCTCTTATGAATAAATAAAATCTTTAAAAAAAATCTGTTTTCTTCACTTCTGACTTTATCACCTTCTGTGCCTGAGCATAATGATCACAAGTCTCGAAGAGGAGAGAGAAATGACGGGCTTGAAGGCCCTGGGGGTGTTCATTAGTCTCTTACTGGCCACAGGTGGAAATGGTAGGCCCTATCACTGTACTTCCCTGCAGTTTTCCTCTGGGCGCCATGCTGTTTTTGTTTCTGAAGGCGTCATTCATCTCGAGGCAGAGAGAATTCCCATTCTGATTTCTACCCCCACGGACTTACTATGGTCATGGAATCCAAAGAACCCTTCCTCCAGATCCAAAGTCAATGTCCTGCTCAAAAACTTTTAGCGATGTGATGAATCATCCCCAGTGAGACTCAATGAATACTCTGGAATTTTTGAATACATATTACATTGTATGAGTAAGGAGAAAGTCCATGCCATTCCTTTTTCAATAGTTTTCAAAGCTTTCAAAGTATACATTCGTATGGAAAGTGATACTGGTTTGTCCAAAGGAGAAAAATGAGGTTGTGCTGGGGTTCAATTTCCCGTGGAGTAAAATAAAGAACATGAGGAGTAGCAGGATGGGAATCTAAAGTTTGCTATGCTTGTGTGAACCATTAGGAAGAAGTCACAGGAGATTTGCTTGGGCTTTAATGAAGAAATATTTGCTGTGAAAATGATAAAAAGAAAAGTATGCAATTTATGTTGGAGTGCCTGGCTGCACTTAAGGGGACCTATTTGGGGTGATTCGAAGACACAGTCAATTTAATGTACTAAAGCCATTCTATTTAAATAAGGTTTATTAAAGCTAAATCCCACACTGTTTTTCTAAAATAAAGCCATATGCCTTTTTTCCTATGGTCTGCCAATGAAGATTATACATTTCTCAGATGTCTTGGTTGTTTTCTTAAGGACACTTCTTTTTGTCAGATTAACTATTCTGTTTGCATTCTTCGCTTTAATTATTTAAAGAATCTCCAAGTTTATGGCCTTGAAGAGAGGATACATTTTTAGGATATCATTCATCCTAAATTCACCCTCAACTCTCAGTTTTGGCTTTTCAGAACATTCCACTGAAGGATTACAGAAGAGGAAAATACAAATGCATGTTCTTTTCCCTTTGTAAGTTTATATTTAGAGTCAATTGAAAGAAGGCCAAAAGTTGTATTTGCAAGATAATAATGTGTAAGCAAAGATGTTAATAATTAGTGAAGAATGCATATCATAACACATAAAACAATGTCTTCCCCTTTTTAAAATCCAAGGAGTGAAAAGTCTCTGGTTCATAGCTAACTTTTTATTCAACCCTTGCAAGAGGGAGTGGTACTTTTTTTTTTTTGGCAAAAGTAGTATGATTTGTTTAAAAGCCTCAGTCAACAGGTATTTCCTGAAAATATTTTCCATAAAAAGTAGAGTATGGTTCTCCAGAATAAAAACTGATCCATTTTACCATTTTTCTTTTTCTTTTTCTTTCCTTTTTGTTCCTCTTTCTTTTTCTTTTCTTTTTTTTTTTTTTTTTAACTTTTCAGCCAAAGGCTTCTATGATCTCGATGCCTTAAATGAAGCTGCTTGGACCAGCGCCCTGAGCCAGCTGGTTCCCTGTAATATTTGTGGGCGTACCTTCCTGCCAGACAGACTGATTGTTCACCAACGATCCTGTAAACCAAAAGCCGCCAAGTAAAGCCCTCTCCCAGCACAAGTGTCACAGCACTAAGATCCTTTTGCGAGAGATTGGGGTAATGGAGGGAAGGAGGAAGAGGGGGTAAGGAGAGGAAGCAAGAAACCCTGGAAACCGCTCAAGGTTGTCTAGCGCGGGAAGCCAGCTCAGTGGTCCGGTGGCACGAGCGTGGCCATGACCGTGACGTGGTGGGCCGACGCTCTGCCTCCCCCACCCCCCCCCCGAACAGCTGTGCGCATGCGCGCAGACACGCGGGTAGGGGGCGGGGCGTCACACTCCGTCGGGCAGAATTACAAGTGGGTTGCCCCTCCTCAGGGCTGGCATTTTTGTCTCCAGGAAATTTCAGAGCCAACTGTTGCTGTTTTTCTTCCTTTCTCTTTTCCTGAGCAAGATTTTTGGAATTTCACAATTAGGCCTATTATTATTATGGGAACAAGAGGGTTCAGGTGGCAATTTCAGGCAACTCCTTAGTCTCAAGAAAAACTGGATTCCTTCCCATCCCTGTGCTTTCTGAAATAACGTGCCACCCAGGGAAACGCTTTTAATTGAGCTATTGATTGGAAATCTCCTTTTCTCTACAAAATTATTGCGCAGCAAAGACTTTCAAAAAAGAGCTAAGGAGTTAAAGTGCTAGAACCGCGCCTAACTCCTACTCCCTTACCAAGAGTGGGAAATTCTACAGAGAAATTTCAGAACTGGTGCCAGCCTCATATGTCAGAAGAGTTCTACAGTGCGATTCATCACATGGGTGGAGGTTAGCTCTTTCCATCTATAGGAGAAGTCCAGAGAGTTCTCCAGGGTCTCCGAGGGGCTGATAGGTGTTTTATTGTTGAGATCTAAAAGCCTGCCAGGAAGTCCTGTGCCTCCCCACCCATTGCCCAGGCAATGGCTTATGAAACTGCCCTGTATTTTAGACCTTGAATGTGCATTCATAGAGGCGAGGCTCTCCTGGGAGGAGGCCAGGGTCAGGGAGGGGCTCTGCCCAGGAAATTCTGCTCCCCCGGACAGCGCTGCTTTGCCCAGACTCCCGGCAGTTTTGCTTGGGATCTTTGTTCATTTTATGGCTGAAGTTCAGAGCCATCCTGGATCCACTGGGTTGCTGCAGACCTTGAATTCATGACCTAACAGCACAGTCAGCTCCAAATTATACAAGCAGATGTATTGGACCTAATATTTTAGTCCCACATCACTGTATTATGAGAGGTTAGTTAAGATAGTTGCACTAATCATCGTTGTTGGTTTTTTTGTCTATTCCAAAGGAAGAAGAGATTAACTTTAAAATAGTCTTTAGCTACCCTCAAAGAACATTATCCCCTTGAGAAAGACATAACATCTCATACCGTTGATGGTTTAGTTTTTTCATTTCGCTAGCAAAGATGACAACATCTAATACCCAAGTTAGAGTAATGAGTCAGACTGTGCTTAGAGTTCTCTAGACTGCCGTGTGTATAAATCTCCCATCAGCCTACAAGAAGAGGTTATCTTTATTTTACAACTGAAGAGACTGATATTTAAATAGGTAACAAGCTAACTCGAGGTCACACTGAGCTTGAGTCGAGGGACAGACTAGGGAAGCAAACTCGTGACTCGGAATCCCAAACCCCCACTCGTACCCAGTGCTATCTGTATGCTACAAACAGATCTCATCTCATCATGAACTCAATGAACTATGCAAACAAAAGATCTGCCGAATGTGATTTTTTTTTTTTTTTTATCCAGTGTTTGTAACTAAGGCAAATGGGAATCTTAGTATGCTTCTAGTTTGCCTGCTGGTCAGGGTTTCTCTTACACTGAGGAGGTGAAAACCCAAGTTTGAACGGCGCTGTCTTTCAAAAGCCACTCTGCCTTCTGCTGATACTCAGCAGTCCAGCGAGGAAACACAGCAAAAATGCTGGCCTCCACTTTGAAATGGGTTGCCACTTGGGGCCCTAACAAGACATTCTGATACCCGTTCCTTGCAAAGCATGACCAAAAAAATCCAAACCAACTACTCTGTAGACATTATTAGGTCTGTGAGTTCTGGAAGTGGGCAACGACTGGCTCTTGCAGGAATTGTCACTTCCACAGGGAGCCATGAGTCGCCTGGACACGCGCCTGGACACGGGGCAGAGACTCCCCCCCACAGTTCCCCCTCAGCTGGCCGGCAAGTGTTCTGTGGAATTACACCCAGAGCAAGCTCAGGAGGGACGACCTCAATCTAAGAGTTCCTGTCTCTTAGCAAAGGCAAGTCGTCAGAACCTCCACATGGACAGGAGGGAGCTCGACGGTTCTCTGCCAACGGCCCTCCTTCCAATTAACTCACTTCTGTGCCGGTATTTGTACCGCAAAAAGAAAATAATTTCTTGAACAGTAGTTGGAACCTCCGTGAGCTGTGAATTCGAACCTTGCTGTGGTCCCTGTAGATAATCTCCTGGAGGATGAGGAGCAGACACTAGATGAAGGTACTCCTAGGCTTCCATTTCCACTTCCAGCTGGGCAGTTATTGGTCTGGGGTGCGTGATTTTTAGAGGCATGGGCAACGCCGCTCCGCCCTCAGTGCTCTGTTAACTGGTGCTGCAAACTTCCATTAGATTCTCCTCTAGGAGAGGAGGCTGGTGGAGGGGTGGGGCAGTAAGGAAGGCACATGATTTGATAAGCACTGGGTGTTGGATGCAACTGATGAGTCACTAAACTCTACCTCTAAAATGAATAATACACTCTATGTTAATTAATGGAATTGAAAGAAAGAAAGAAGAAAGAAAGAAAGAAAGAAAGAAAGAAAGAAAGAAAGAAAGAAAGAAAGAAAGAAAGAAAAAAGTTTAGGAATTGCAAAAAAAAAAAGTCCCCTCTAGTTAAGGCTACGGGAAAGGTTCCAGGATTTCTGGATGCTCATTTGCACATTCAATTCACATCACAGTTGCAGGGGATGTCCTATCAGCAGGGAACACGGGGGACCGAACAAGCATATCCTAGCAGGGGTGTGGAGGGGACGAATCTCCCGCTGTGAGTCCGCATGGAAATCCCGTTAAGAGCTCCATTACGGGGACTCTTCGGGCGGCCTCCTCTGAGTATTTTCTGACAGACAAGTGTTTCCAACTGGGGTCTCTGGGCTGGCTACCAGATGACACTGCTTGGGCCTGAGGAATCCTGACCCGAGACTCTTCGTGGAAAAAGAAGCAAGCTGCTATGGCTAAGGGCAGGCAGACTCATTTGTGGAGCAGGGGGGAGAGAGAGAGAGCAGATATCCAGTGTCTTCTACCTACTGAAAACAGCCCTGGGTCTTTCTCTATTTGTCTCCTTCTGACATTAGTAGCATTTCTTCTTCACACTCCTGCCTGAACCAGCCTGTGTGGCTTTAATCCTGTATCAAGTCAGGGCTGGAAGTTCAGCCCCTTTCCTTCCCCCATCCTGAAGTGATGGTCCACCTTCCTTTATCATTTATTACTTTCCTGGTGACCCACCATCCAGCCCACATGAAATGGTGCTCCTGTCTTGCTCATGCTGCCCAATCTCTGTGAGCACTGTGATCAGAGACGAGACATGAGGTTTTCCTGCATTTGAAGGAAACAGACTCCTTGGAGAAGCAGTCAGGTTTCCAGTGGGGGCCAAACCGGGAGGTGTAGAGAGAATATATACCAGGAAAAACACTTAGCGTAAGATGATACACCTTAGTTCTGCTTACTTTTTTTTATAAAAATACTTAAATAAACACAACTCATAGAAAAAGTATAGTGAAGTCTCATGTTCTCTACACCCAGGTAAACTCTCTTCTTGACATCCCACTGGGGTCGAACTGGAATGGTTTAAATTTTAGCTACTAATTTTTGGGGCAAAAGAGGAAGACGCAATGGCAGAGATTGCTGTTGAGAGCATAGGATTCCACGGTACGTCTGCTAACGCCCTTCAGCTGTATTTATGGGAACATGAGATCAAGCCAGCAATGGATATCAGCTTCAACTTCAGATGTGATTAAAAAAAAAAAAGTGAAACCTGACCTAGGCATAATGGAGCCAGGTCCTATCACTGAAACACATTGATCACTTACAGGCCAAGGGTTTTAAGGTGACTCTTAGTTGAGAGTGTGCTAGGCAAAACAACAGCCCCCCAACATTGTGGATGCCCAGTCCCCAAACCTTCTGAAAATGTTACCTTACAGGGTACAAGAGACTTCGAAGATGGGATTAAGGTTGTAGACCTTGAGGGGGGGGAAATGATCTCACATTATCTGGGGGAGCCCCAATCTGAACTGCATGAGTCCTGAAAAGTGGAATAAGAAGGGAAAGGGGGGAGTCAGAGAGATGGCAGCATAAGAAGGATCCATCACCCTGTTGCCAGTGGAGATGTAGGCAACTCTGTGTAAAGACCAGAGAGACGCCTGCAGGGGCTAAGCGTGGCCCCAACTGACAGCCAGCAAGGAAACTGGAACTTCCGTCCTCTAACCACACGTGCCTGGGCTTTGCCACTGACCTCAATGAGCAGGGAAACGGATTCTCCCCTGGAGCCTCCAGGAAGAAACGCCGCCCTGCCCACCATTCATTTTTATCTGGTGAATCCAGGGTTGAACTCCTGACTTACAGAGCTGTAAGAAAATAAATGTGCATTGCTCAAGCCAGTAAGTTTTCAGTGATTTATTTTGGCAGCCATAGACAACGAATAGAAGCATCTAGGTGAAACAATGCAATATAGGTTAAGAAAGAAAAAAAAAAGAAGAAGAAGATAGTGGGAGGGGAAGAATGAAGGGGGGTAAGTCGGAGGGGGAGACGAACCATGAGAGACGATGGACTCTGAAAAACAAACTGAGGGTTCTAGAGGGGAGGGGGGGGGGATGGGTTAGCCTGGTGATGGGTGTTGAGGGGGGCACATTCTGCATGGAGCACTGGGTGTTATACACAAACAATGAATCATGGAACACTACATCAAAAACTAATGATGTAATGTATGGTGATTAACATAACAATAAAAAATTATTAAAAAGAAATAAGTAGCAAAAAAAAAAAAAGAAGCATCTAGGTGGCGTAGGGTAG